AAGATGCAAAGTTCTGGGCTGGGGAGTGAGCCTCCAGTGAGGCTCAGTGGGCCTGAGGGACCAGCGATTGATTGGGGGCCACCCTTTGCAAGCAGGCTGCCTCTTGTGCCCCAGCCCATGTTTCACGTGGTTTCATTTGCAGCGGTCACCTGCACAACCCCAGAGATCCTGAATGGAAGGAACTTGGATGGACGTGGCTCTGTGTATAGACCTGGAGACAGAGTGAGGCTTGAATGTAATGACATCTTTACACTGAATGGCAGTCAGGAGATCCGGTGCATGGAGAATGGCACCTGGCATCCCCCCATCCCTTACTGCAGTCTTGGTAAGCATGAATTGCGTTTGGGGTCTGGTCATGGCCATGGGGAGTATATGGCAGGGTCATTCACGGAGGGATACGTGAACTTGCTGGGAATCCTGTTTCAGCTTTTGGAGGTAAACATGGAAAATACAAACTTCTGCCTGGACTCCCCCCTCTCTCTGCTGCAGTTTCCTTGTGATAGGTGTCCCCCGTCATTCTGCCACCCCTTGATGCAGAGAGCTCTGATTAATGGTCTGTCCCGTGAGTGTCCCAACAGTGGTGAATTCCTGTTGGCAGTAGCAAAATACAGATTGAGAATTCATCTTTCTCCAGTAAAGTATTTCAGTTCCTTAAGACTGGATACCTGGGGATAGAAAAAAATCACAGCATGGAGGCACCTTGCTCCTGGCAAGAGGGAAATCTTAGGAGGGTGAGTGCTGTTATGTGTGTGTGGAGTCAGTGGTGCAAGTGTGAGTGACTTGGCACAAACACCCTGAGCTTTTCTTACTCTTCCTGGTAGATCTGATTATTGGAAGCTTCTTGTTTTTAACTGGTTTACTATTTTCACTGAAAATCCTCCTTCCCCTCTCACTGCAGCATCCCCCACCTCCAGCCATCGCCCTTGGAAAGCACAGTGCCCAGGCCTTGGAAGCTTTCCACACTGTCAGCTGTGAGGCTGGCTACTCCCTTCTTGGACAGGCCTCCATCCATTGCACAGGGTCTGGAAGTTCAGACAAACCTGCTAGCATACACAATTCACAGCTAGGGACTGAACTTTCCAGTAAGGGGCTCACGGAGCCCCATGTGCTGCAGTCTGAGGATTGTGCACACACATGCCACTGGTGCATGTGTGAGGCCTGGTGACTTTCAGGCTGACTTGATGGTTTATAAAGTGCTGCCCACATAAAGAAGTACTTAGGACTTCTACTGCTAATAAAGTGTTTCCCATGTCTGTGCATAGGACTGGTACCAATATTTAAGGAGACGTTTAGTGGTGTGTTGGTGCATATTTGTGTGGAAGGGTTGCATCAGTACTCCGGCCTAACTTTGGCTTTTATTGGTTTTGTTTGCACTGAGGCATTACAATCTGTTGCTGCTGTTACTGCTTTGATATTTTCAGATAAGCACCTCTGACACAATGGTCTGGTTCTTCTTATTTTTCTGGTGTTAGAACCATTTCCCATTCATTTTACCTACCCCTCCCCCAATACTTTATTCAAACAAATGAGTCTTCCCAGCCTTGGACACAATCCTGCTGCTGAATTGAGGGACCTTTGAGGAGGCCGTGACTGCACGATTACATGGCCCTAAATTGGTGAAATTGCTGTTGGGAACACGGGAAGCATGTTCTTTTTCATAGCTGAGGCTCTTGAGCAGGTGTGGCGTTAGGGCAAAATGGGGAAGGTGGGAATGCCTCTTGATATCTGGGAGGACCTGAATTGGATGCAAGGCAAGGTAGATGAGTAACTTTATCCCTTGCGTGTGAGCATCTCTGCTATTGGGGTGGCAATGACTTTTCCTCTTCTAGATCAGCCCAACGACTCGCTTCCCCCAATGAAGTTCATATTGAAACATCAGTGTCCGTCTCCTCCAACAATCACCAACGGGAAGCACAGTGGCCAGGACCTTGAAGTGTTCACCCCTGGGGTATCTGTAAATTACAGCTGTGAGCCTGGCTTCTCTCTTGCTGGAGAGACTTCTGTTCGCTGCACAGCATCCGGAACCTGGAACCAACCTTTCCCTTCCTGCAAAGGTGCATTTCTATTCTTTTTTTTGGCTCTAGGTGTATCATTTGCTAGACACCATTTCACCCCAGGCCATTAGAAAAAAGTGACAGAAATCCCAGGAGGGGATTAGTTCTCTGGTTAACTGAACATGTTGGGGCTGGATTCATGCTTGGTCTGTGCAATGTCATTTCTTTTAGAGGAGTTCTGCCCTCTTAGACTGGTGGTGAATACAGCTCCTAACACATTGGATTGCACCAGAGTGCAAGCCATGCTTGTGTAAACAGTTACAGGCTGTGTAGAAGGAAAAGCCCCAACGGGCCTGTTATTTCCCCCTCCATCCTCTCTGCAGATCTGCCATGGAAAGCATGTAGGCATGGTACCCTTCTCTAAAGGTTTACTTCTGTGGAGGAGCCTTCACAGTGGAAACAGGTTCCCTGCAATTAGTGCTAAGCCACAGTGGGGTAGTTGTGGGCACATGAGCAGTTACCCCTTGTCATCGGTTACACAGCCTGTCCCTCCCCGTCTTAGCTCACTTGATCTTGTACTTTGTACACATTGTGTGCAGGACATGCAGAGTAGCTTAGTTACCTGGTGGCATGCAATAAAGCTTGCACAAAGGCAAGGGTGCACACAGTTCTACATCAGGAGTTCATGTGGATTTGCGGATGTGGTGTAAGTTCATGCCCTCTTTTATTGTGTACCGGCCTCCCCAGGCATACACACCCACAGTGAGGTTTTCAGCTGGAAATACGTAAACCTAGATGGATGTGATTTTGATGCTTTGTGTTTCGACAAGGAACATTTCTATGGATTTGCTAACCAGATTCAGCTTTCCATTAGTGTTTAGTGTCAACATTTATTGAGTTTGGGTTTTTTTCCAGGTTGTGCCGCACCTCCAGCCATTGCCAATGGGAACCGCAGTATCCAGGACTTGAAAGAATTTGCTTACGGTTCCTCCGTGACTCATAGTTGTGACACAGGATACTTGCTCATTGGAGAAGCAACATCTCAGTGCACATCTTCCGGGACTTGGGTCCCCCCTCTCCCATACTGCAAAGGTGCCAAGTGTACTTATTTGCCCTTCTTGCTCCCTTTCCAGCACTCTAGCAGTAATGTAAGAATAACTTTAAAAACTAGGACTTGATCTGCCTGCTAGACGTTGAAGCTTATGCAGCTGCTTGTCTAAAAAAATGCATCTTGCCTCAGGAAAGCATTAAATAGACATTAGATAAAATGGGTAGCAGCAGTAGCGGGGGAAAAGACTTCTTCTAAGCTAGAGGAGGGTTCTTCTCACTGGGCTAGAGTCGGGGTCCATTTTAGTTGCTCTCTTTGGGACCCCCTGGTTTTTGGATGCCTGTTTGTCCAGGACTTCCACACCAAGTGACAATTGCCCCTTTCACTAAGCTATTGGACGAACGTGAGTGGGTCTGTTTTATCTTAAGGCTAAGGTGTATTGCAAAAGTAGGTGAAATAATGGTTTTCCAGGGACTTGAGAAGGCTGGAATAGGAATAGGATCATACTTAGAGACTTAGATGCCTAAAACCCAGGTAAGCGTATGTTAAGATCTGGGTGTAAGTTGATTGTGTCGTCCAGCTAAGGCCTTTTTCTATAATAAATCACATTACAAACCGACACTTTCATGATGGAAAGACTAAATGCATTTCTGACCCCTCCCCAAACCCTGGCTTTTAGGTGAAAAACATTTTGGCATCACCATTTGATTCAAGACAGTTCTAGTAGTGAACGGGGCTTTGCAAACAACCGGTAGTGAAATGGCAGCTGCTTGCACCAAGGAGAGTGAATCTGCACAACATGGAGCTGGCAAGACTAGGGGTAAACCCTGGCCTTGTAGATGTTCATGGCTGTATTCCCACTGAACTAAGTGGGCCTTGCTCCTTCAGTCCTGGAAGGGCTTGGCCTGGTTCAGGTCCTTTTTTCAGGACTTCAGCTTTATTTCTTCCATTTATACTAATAGAGTACAGTAAGCATTCCAGCCCCTGGGCCCACAGCCTTCTGCAGGGGTCTCTCTGTTCCCTTAGGCTGATTGTCTGAGAGTTGTGCTCTGCTATAGGACTTTAGAGGACCCAACTTGCTGAATCTTCCCTGTTGAAGCCAAGGGGCTCCTGGCAACAGTGTGATGCAACCCACCCACCTGCGGTGACTGACAGGGGCCAGGCTTATGCCCTGAATTGCTCTGCTTTTCCCACTGCCAGATAGTACATGACCCTGGGGATAGGGGAGAGATAGCAATACTGTAAAAAGAAATTGTTGTATATGCATCTTGGTTTTCCATCATGTATGAGAAGTACGTACTTAATGATTTCCAATTTCAGAGATCAGATGTGTAGTCCCAGATGTACCAGGTATTGGGAAGGCAATGATGGGAATGACATATCCTATAGGGACTAACCTTACTATGCAATGTGATGATGGTTACATGTTGGAGGGCAGCAGTTTAATTCAGTGCCAAGATGACTTGTCCTGGGATCCTCCTATGCCAGTCTGCAAATCAGGTGAGCGGAGACAAAATGGAAAGATGAGTTCAGTCTGTACCTTTCAGTGAAAGACATGTATAGTATTTGGCCTTTTGTAACCAGAGCAAAAGAGGGAAAAATTGCATGTCTGTTGCTTGGGTTTAGTCTTCAACCTAATGTTGAAACTGAAGTGCAAGAAGCTGAGATGAGATTTGCCCTAGAGATGATCTACAATTCACGTCCTGTTTATTCTGGAGTCTTGTCTGAATGCAGGCTTATTTCCCTTAGCTATTAATTTATGTATTTATCAATATTATATATAATCATGAATATTCATTGTGGTTACTATGACAACTGCTTGGGTTAAATTAGTGCATGTTGGTGTGTAGGTGTGGCACAGTTTCTTAACTTGCACAGACACAACTTTGTAGTCCCTCCTTACACTAGAGAAGATACTCTAGGGCTCAGTGGGTTTAAGATGGGTGTTAGAAAAGTAAATGATTTAAGCACCCAACTCCCTTAGGCAGTCCTGAAGACCCCATGTGTAATCCCTGCCTACAACGTATCTCTCCGTGTCAGCATAAGGCAGTCTTCCAAGCAGTGGGGAAGTCCTTGTAGCTCAGCGCTGTGTGAATGAGACCCAGACCCAAGCCCTTGCCAGCCTCTGAGCAACTGATCTAGCAGGTGTGCAGATGCCAACGTCCTGGCCCAGCCACCTGGAACGGCACCGAGGTTTCTGTTTTGGCCTGTCAATGCTTACTCTCCCTTTCAGAGCTGCAGGGGCTTTTCTGCAGATTACGAGAATGCAGGGAAGATTTCCTGCAAACCTCATGCTCTAGACCTCTCCAATTAAAGCTCCCATGTGACCAAGATAGAGACAATATTTAAGTGTTGCTGAAGGGAATGGCAGGGCTGGTGTTTTTTTTATTTTGCAGCTTCTCAAGCATGTGTTTTCTTCTCCTTCTCTAGGCTCCTATAGTGCAATCTCAGCTGTCACAGGTAAGCAGCGTATCAAAAGCATTTGAGGCTGTACCCACAGCTGGCGTGAAGAGATGTATCTCTATCACTGTGGTGGAGCTAATCCATGTTAGTGTAGCTGAGGGTCTGGCCCGCTGTTCCTGCACTTTCCCTGCAGAGCAGGATCTCTGCTCTCAAACCTTTGCTTGCCTCCAACACTGCATCTGCACCAAAGGAGTATTACTTCTGTAATCAGGCAGCCTTAGTTCAGAGTCTCCCTCCTCCCAGGTTGTCTAGGTCCCAACAACAGCTGCATGGCCAAATGGGATGTGGCAAAGTCCCCGGGGCCTCGATGTTGGTCACCTCTGTGTTCTGCCATTGTGCTTTGTGACTTCCTTTGAAGTCACTGGCTCATTTGTTCAAGTTTGTGGTCTTGATTCATCACAACAGTGTCCCTTCTCTCAGTTCATGTGGCTTGAAGTGCCCTGGGCTCTAAATGGTAGGTTGTGCTTCTTGATTTCTTTGTGCCACTATAAATGCAAGTGCAGTACTGAAGCAGCACCAGACAAATCGCTTCACTGCGAATAAGGCCTTTTGAATTCAGTAACCAGGAATTAGGCCTTTGCATAAAAAAATCCAAGCCTAGTAGGGGAGCAACATAAAGTGCTAACAACCTAAGCAACGAGCCAGCACTCCACTTTACAAATGAAGTGATATACCCCCCAGTGCTCAGATTCATACTTTGCTTCATCAGGGATTTTTGAGGTTACTAACACTGTGCAAAAGCCAATAATTACGTTTCTATGTGCCTTCAACCCATTTCACTGGGCCCTTCTTGTTCATTCAGGCGTCTCGGGAGCAATGCTGCTGGTTCTACTGGTTATGGGCATTGTTTGGAGAGTTGCTTCTAAGAAAAAAGCAGGGTGAGGCTCTCTACAGTTCCATTTTGTTTCCTTGCATGTATGGGTATGAGTGAATTAATTCATGTTGTAGTCCTCTGATGTGATTACTGTGAGCATCAGAACAGCTTTCCAAACCATAAGCACAAATATCTGCAATCAGTTGTGGCGGTACCTCATTTTGCTTGCCGTCTCTCTTTTTTTTTAAAAGCAGTGGAATTGCCTGTCCTTGGAAAACTAGCTCAATTTCTTATGTGTATTCCTTTTTCCTGATTGTTCAGGTACTATCATACCTATGAAAACTATGACTACCCAATCCCCATGACTGACATAACTGATCAGAAGTCTTCATTTGCACCTTAGCAGGTATGGGTTTATTTCAGATCATTTACCTCAATGTAAGAATATTGGAATTGTGGTGAAAAGAGTTGAGGGATGCTTTGACCCTAGCTCACTTTCTTGCCCCTTGGGCAGGGAGCTGGACCTGATGATCTTGTGAGGTCCCTTCCTGCCCTAATTCCTATGAAGTCTATGGAATCTATGAAGTTTGATTTGCTGTAATTTAAGTTCAGTTAGTTGGTGAGTAGGAAATGAGCAGGAAATAACCGCTCTCCTCCTAATCCACTGGGGAGAAACATGCTTCTGTGTGTCTGAATGCAAATGGTACACAGGTTTTTACTAGGAACACCGTCAGCCAGCTTCTGTTCTCCTTCTAAGTACCTAAGTGGACTGAAGCACCTTGCTTTTATCTTCTTTGATCTTGTTTGAGCCTGGGGACAGTTCATGAGTCCTTGCTTTCTGGGCTCTAGCATTGGGGCTGAGATGATGGTGTGTTATAAAAGCAGCTGGGCAGAATCAAGTTGCACTTGAATGAGAGTGAGAAAAAGGCTGTGAAATAACAGTTTAGGTCTCTGCCTGCTTTAATGTGTGTGGCAATGGATGCTTGCTTGCTCTGCTCAGGAATCTGATACAGATGGGGAACGGCATGGTCAGCTATTGGCCTTTATACTTCCTATGTGCAGCCTCTCTATTGTGTACCCCTCTGACAGCATATGAATGGATTTTGAATGTTTTTAAACACTGACTGAAAACAAGGAGGCTGGTTTGAGATCATTTCTGTCTGTGAAACGCACAAAACTTCTCCAATATTTACTGGAACCAGTCATTTTTATAATTTCAGCATCATGTTCATGAACTTGGTCAGGAGACTAGAAACACTTATTTTGGCTTTGTTTGTAATGGTGGGTGATCTCTCTGCCTGGTAGCAATCTTCTCCTCCTCCTGCCCAGGCATTTGCTTCTTCTCCATACCAGGCTCATTTGTGGGGAATTTAACTTTCTTTTTTTTGCTCCAAATGGTTGGGAGTTGCATGGAAATATTTTCTTCCCCTTCTTGGTCAGCAGTTTGTGCTCTTGTTCTGATGTTCCCCATGGGATAGTGGGGGGAGCTTTGCTATTTGTCATTCAATGCAAGTTGCTGCTGCTACCGCTGCTTCCATGAGTAAAACTACAGCAAGGATGCTATAAAATTCAGCCTTCTCACAGCAGTGACGTAGCTCCTGGACTGACCTTTGTTGTACACTTCTACTCGATGCCCATGAGCACTTCTTGCCTGCAGACTTTTGCCTAAGCAAGATATGCTGGAGCATCCAGATGCTGGCCCCCCAGATGAATCTCTGGCTTTCTTTCCCTTTCACAGATCATCTTGCTTTTGCAGAACAGAAAGCAAATGCTGGTGATTTTGCTGCCTCAAATTGGAATCAAAAGAACAGCTCCTAAGCTTCCTCCTGAAGCAGTTTCACAGTCAACCTGGCAAGACTTCTTGAGAGCCTGGGAGGTGAAAGGAGCCTTTCCTGTGGAAGTGACTTGTTGCTGCCTTACCCCCAGGCACGCTGACCCCTGTGCCTCAGTCTCTTCAGCTTTACTCGCTTTTCTGACACAGGGTACTACAATATGGCCCTTCACTGAGCTACAACCATTTCTTTTACATCAATTTCAAGGGTTTTTAAGACCTTTTAAAATTATTTTACAATGCAAAATGAATGCCCGCAGATGCTGCCTTTCTCACGTGGGAGCTTGCTGCATTTCTGTGCATAGAGGTTTACAACCTAAACTCGAATATGAATTGCAGTTAAAAGACCATACACGTCAAGAACTAGGTGCTGCCATGTAACTAGAACAAATGGTCTGATCTTGCAATACTGGATAACATCCGCCTATATTATATGCTCGCTGAAAGCATTTTTGAAGGCTGCACCTAGAAACTGTTGCAGCTTGTTTTGCTCTTCCTTGAGAGATTATGATCAAACACATTTTCCTTGAGCTAATGCTGTGGGCTCTCCTTGGAAAATGTTTTTGAGATCTACTGATGAAAGTGCTTCTCCAGAAGAAAACAGTCTTTACTTTAGATGATTACTTTCTAAATAGTGTAAATTAAGTGATGCTGTTCTGGAATAACTGACAACTCTGCTTCCAGAGTACTTGATCTGAAATAAAGACTTGTATCCTAGAAGAATGAGAGAATCATAGAACAGAAACCCCAAACCAGGCAGACTATAACCAGACAGGCTATAGATTTAAATTTAAGAGTATGGACACCCAAAACACTCTAGCTTGGTTTAAATGCAGTTGCAGAGCGGACTTATGTACAAACCTGTTAAACTGTTTCAAAACTTTCTGGAAAAGTTCAGAAATGCACCTGGAAAGTGAAATTCTCTTTGGAAACAATTCACTGTGAACCAAGTCAGTGGTGGATACAGTCACAGAAAATGAGGGTAGGAAGGGACCTCAGGAAGTCGCATCTAGTCCAGCCCCCGGCTCAAAGCAGGACCAGCCCCAGCTACAACATCCCAGCCAAGGTTTTGTCTAGCTGGGTCTTAAACACCTCCAAGGATGGAGAGTCCACTGCCTCTCTGGGTAGCTTGTTCCAGTGCTTCATCATCCTGCCAGTGAGAAACATTTTCCTAATATCTAACTTAAACGTCCCTTGCAACTTGAGACCATTGCTCCTTGTTCTGTCCAAAAAGGAGTGGATACAGGGTGTTTCATGACACAGGTCAGCCAGGTTGAGTGTTAAGTGACTAGAACTCTACAGCTCCCCTCTTCTTTTTTTTCCTTTTGATTTGCACTTTATCCATGAGCTCCCTTGCACTGCTTGTTTAATAAAAGTGATCTTTTTGACACCCAGCTGTGTCCTCGTTCCTTCCTTGATGAAGCTCCTCGTCATACCCCCCCAGCCCTGGGGAACCCAAAAGTGTGGGTCCAAGCACTGCCCCTTTATAAGCACCCCAAGTCAGGCAAGCACACTGGAAACTTTGGTCAGGTGTAGACTACTGAACTTGATCGAATTCATATTTAGGAGAGAAGAGAAAGCAGCAAAGTGAAAAGGCCTCAGCTACAGGACTCCTGGGACTCCTAAAATGTGGATGCAATCACCTCTCTACCCCACTCCCACTTGCCCACTGAGATGCATGCAGGGCTGGATGCTCACTCCTACCCCGTGGTGTCAGAGCCACAGCATTTCAACACCTACTAGGTGCCCATTCCAGTTGGACCACCAGGGCACTGACCCATGACAGCTGTGAGCCAGTTCCCAAACAGGCACACTTGAATGGTTCAGTTCTTACATCTGTCCATATCCTGTGCCTAATGCAGCTTGTACCTACTGCAGGGCCCCCAGGAGTATATATCACACCGTCAAACAACAGTGAAGGAGTCTTGGTGGTCACTGCAGATTTCTTTGGCATCCAACTGTATTTCATACATTTTTATTCTGTTGCTGAGAATTCGGTACTCATTGTTTGTACAGTCCTTTCAGCATGAAAACTGAACAGGCCCCCTCCCTGCAGAGCTTGCAGTCCAGGTTAAACAAGATGCAGAGAAATATCTGGCAAATGCTGCAAAGTTTGTGCAAGGGCAAAACTTGCACTTTGAAAGATTTAAGTTCTGTTTTTGCTTGAGGTTCACTCTGGTGGGTACAGGAATTCCCTCCCCAGTATCCATCAGTCTATTAAGCTGGAACAGCGGCATGTCTTAATATTGTTGGAAGTAACAGAGCAGTTGGAAAAGAGATGGCACATGTATTGTGTGATGCATAGGTTACCTTGCAGGGAGAATGGTTAAAATGCCAAGCCTGTTTATTCAAGGCAGTAACAGTCTCTGATGAAGGACTGCTCCCACTTCCTGCTCTGTTTTCACAGCTACTTGCTAGTGGCTTCTAACATCTGTCAACACAGAAGTTTCAGTTTCACATGCATTTTCCTGTAGTCTTGGGTGCATGCTCTAGCAGTGATGGTAGAGGACAGAAAAAAAGTCTAACACAGGGGTTTGACTTGAAATCTCTCATCCAATTTCCAACAACTAGAATAGCAGCTGTAACAATAGGTGTTGTGCAGCTGGACCTGACAACCCCTGAAAGTGTCTGCAACGAAAGAGTTATAGAGGCAGCAGGAAAGGAGAAAGAGCCTGCAGCTCTGCCCAAAGCAGAGGGCTGTGAAAATGCTACTAGGAGTCTTTAATCCTGCATGGGAGCCAGATCCAGCCCTGAAGAACGGCAAAGGGAATCCTCAGATATGTACCTAGGAAAGGGGATTAAATGACTGCAACAGGCAATAGGGCAACACTTCGATAGTTAGGGAGTCTATAAAAGGGTGCATCTGCCCTGCCTTCTAAGCATCTAAGTCCCCCTGGTAATATTAGCAAAGGCCTCTGAGCCTGTTTGAGATGAGAGGAGACCAGTCCCTGCCCCAGTGAATGCACAAAACAGAAGGGTTTGGAGCTGGACCGACAAGGCGTGTTGACTCAGGAGGAGGCAGCAGAGGAAAAAGCTATGTCTGGGCCTGGGAGGAGCTGTGCCCAACTTCCTGCAGGGCTACATCTGCTTCTATTCTTGGCCTCTTTAAAAAGAATTGGTGCTCTGACTACGAGCAAGTGAGGATCAGGATCCAGATGCAGACTCATATGCCCTGACCACAGCGTTGGTGGGTCCACCCAGCTGCAGCCTTGGCACAGCCCACGCCCTGTGCAGTGAGAAGCTACCCCAGCCCGTGCTGCCGTGATGCTGCTGTGCTGTCTCTGGGCACTGAGGGTCCAGGTGCTGCTGGCTCTCGTCGTCATATCCAAGAGCGCCAAGGGTAGGTGCGCCCCATGCTCTGCTCTAGCCATGCACCCCACTGGCCCTCTGGAAACTCCTCCGCTCTGACCTCTTGCAGGAAGCCCACAGCTTGGGAGGAATAATCCAAAGTGGGTCCCATGGCAGAGCTTGCCCTGCTGCCCCCCAAGGCTGTCCTTTGGTGCACACAGGCTTCTCTGCCCCTGGGGCACTGGTCTTATGCTCCCACCCCAGTAGCAGGTGGATCCTAGTGGGTGAAGTGGAAGGAACAGGGTTTCCTTCAGGGCTTGTCTCCTGGCACAGCTCCCTGGGTCCTAGGGTTCCCCAGAGCCTGCAACTTGCTGCTTTTTCTTATGAGTTCAGAGGGTGCAGTAAGGACATTCCTTCTCCACTAGGCTGTCACTGGAGGTGTCCCATTCAGTGGAGGTGGGTGATGCTGCACTTGTGGGGGAAGGAGGCAGAGGGAAATTGCCTAACCAAAATGATGCCCACTGCCTCTCCCTCATTCTGGGTTGTGCTGGTTTTCTGTCACTAGCCACATCCCGTAGTGGTGTCTTCAGGAGTCGCTTCCCAGTTGTGCTCCAGGACCGTGCTTTGCTTTACCAGCATGGGTTGGCCCTGGTGCGTTCAGTTTACTACAGTTTTCTCTGTTTAAATGCAGAGCCAGAGGAGTGGAAAAGGGGTACACATTAGTATTTAGTGTAACCCAAGTACATTAAGTGCTAAAACTTTAAGGTCACAGGATTGGCTGTGTTCTGGTATCATAGCCCTTAATCTGTCCAGCTCCTGTTATTTTCAAGGTAGTTATTAGTGATTTCCAGGGCTGCTATTAGAAGTTTTGAAAATAAGACTTGATAGCAGATCAAAAACTGAACAGTTTATTTTCAAGGCTTCTAAATCAGCCCTTTGGCAGATCTTTCCTCTTCACTATTGCTGTAGCAGCGAGCACACAGCACAAGAGCATTCAATTCAGTTACAAGTAGGTAGTGGGGTGGGGAGACGATATGCCCTTAAATAATTTATGCCTTCCAGTCTGCAGATAAGGGATGTTAGTTATTGTCAGTTAGGGTTTTCTTCCCACCCTTGAGTCTGACAGTGTCACCCCTCAACAGGAATGGCCAGTAGGAACAGCAGGGGCTGGTTTTCAGTGCTTTTCATCCCTGTAATGTCTGTAAATCATGCCTGCTGCCATCCTAGCCAGTCATAGGATCACAGAAAACAAGGGCTGGAAGGGACCTTGGGAGGCCAAATAGTCCAACCCTCTGCTCAAAGTAGTCACATGGCCTCACTTGTGAAATGAGTCAAAGATAAGTATCTGTTCAGAATAGGCCGCCAAATTCTGTGCTCTTCAAAATCACCGTTGTGCAGGTGGCTTTAACTGTGAAAGAGCCTTTTGGGTAACTGCAGCACATTGAAAGGAAGAAGCCTAATTCTGTCCTGGTTCTGTCCCAGAAAAATCATGTGGTACTCCAGAAGAGCCATCGAATGGAAGAATTATTGTGACAGATGCCTTCCTTGGATCAGCAGTGAACTAC